CCCGTGACCCCCCCCCTGGATCCGCCCTTGATTGAAGCCCACTATTGAGTTCTAGATATTTTTCCTGCTAGTCGTTTGCTGCACTGAGCGACAAGCATGCACTTTTTATTTCAAAATCCAGTCAGAGCCACTACAGACTAATCAAGCAGCCAAAACACCACACTTATCATTTGTCTTACCCCCTTATTCGCTTAACACTGGAAGCATAGATCTATAAAATAATCCAGGTTTTAACAGTCGTCTTGCGTATTATACAAATCCCGGTTTAGTGTTGTTTAGGCAGTTGTTTCATTGGCAATGAAATGAGATAATGATATAAAAAGTACTTACAATTCAATATTGTGAATGGTCGATGTGGGGCAATTATCGTTCACCCGAACGTGGCACTGTTTGTGGCACTTTAGGAAACAGTCCCTGCACTCGTAGCCCTGTTTCCCAAATCTCCTCGCTATACTTTTAGCGCACACTTGACAAATTGTGCCACTGGAATAAAAACAACCATAACTACTGAAAATAGTGCGGAAAACTGGCCTACCCTTGTAAATGTTTGGCAACAAACGTGTGGTCGTTAAAAATGTGCAGCTTCACCCCCTTTTTCTTCCATTTCGACTTTTGTGCCAGAGACAGCGGTACCAGATAGTGCTTCTTGATGCCATTCTCTATCGTTTCCAGCACCAAAGTACTGGCTTCATTGATGTAGGTTCGAGTGGAGGCGCTGCTCAGCCCGGACGCTTCCGATAAGCTCGATCTTCTCGATGTTTCCTCACGGCCGGGCGGGTTCAGGCGGTAATCTGCAACAACATTTGCAGCTTAGCGCATTTGTTAGTAAAATTTTGTGTTTCAAGTAATTGTTATCAGAAGAATGGGACTCATAGGGTTTTCAGCCTCAGGGGTAGATGAACAGCATTCTGTATAATAATGCCGCTTAAAACAGACAAAGAGTTTGGATCGTTTCGTTTCTGAATGGTTTCTACGTATTAAACGGGTGTTTTTTCCTGAGCCCTCGAAGGCTGGAAACCGCATGACTATTGGTTAATTTCGTCTGTAAGTTCTAGATGAGCGCCCTTTTGGGCCATGTGAGTCCCACTCTCAGTGTGTTACACTTGTCCTCATTTATTCGTGTTAATAGTATGAAAACTGGATGATTTACCGTTGCAATACTCAAGGTGTAGCCTAGAAATGGTTCCGAATTTATCTAAAAACAAATAGAGTGTACATTTCGAAAGGTGCTTTTGGAAATCAGTTTCGGAGAGATGCGTGTGATTTGAAGCGCCGATACTCACGATCGTCCTGGTTTTTCCCTCGATCGGCCGAGACCGATCGGTTCAAGCTGTCGTCCCGACCAACGTCGTTTTCAGGTCCAGCCGATTTCGATCTGTTCTTCGATTTGCCCAGTCTTCTTTTGATCGTGCCGAAAAAGTCCCGGCGTTTTCTCGGCCGTCCTCTGAAATCGTACTCGGTTGGTTGCGACTGGAGTGTGCCCGAAGCCGAAAAGTCGCCTGGCTGCAAACGAAATGCAGTCGTTATTGGACGGAAAAACCTCCAGTTTGGTCCAAGTTTCCAAACTACTTTAGCGCCGAGAATTAACAAGTGCATGTCCAAACCTTTGAGGATTCTAAGTCAATTACGCTATCCTGCAGAGATGCGTCGCCGTTCAAAGCCCCATTAGCGCCAGAGTTAGTCACTAAACCACCGTTTGTCCCATTGGAGCCCGCATTGGGCCCACCTTCAAATAGGTCAGCGGCAGCGTCCAGATCAATGTGAACATTCTGCACTTCCGCATCGATCAAGTCCTGGCTGGGATTGATTTCCAGACGCTCCACCTCCTTCCAGGTGCCGTTTTCCAGTTCCATCTTCCAAGTTAGTAGGAGAAAACAAGAAAATTACACACATAAGCGACTTAGTTAGGGACTTTCAACTGATGGGAACCTTTGACGGGCAAAGGTTCCCATCGCGTATAAGCAGCAGCTGGCAACTACAGACATTGAGATAGTTGTGGTCTTACCTTGACGAGGCGTTGCGACGGCTGCTAAAATGAAAAAGCCGTTTAGCTAAACAGAACACTGAAAACAAGGCCTCTCTGTGGAAAACTGCACTCACCCTTTGGACGCTGTGGATGACCAAAGTGCTTTTGTTCGGGCTCAGACGCTGCCTGTTCCTGTCCAGATCGCTCAGCGCGGAGTTCACAATGTGATTTCCATTTGTCATTGATTCTGGAAAGGAAAACCCCCTTAGTTCCAGACCACTGGATATCTCCTAGCTTTACCATTAAGGAAGGTGGTGGTTGCTGTGGTCAATCTGGCCCTATTAGGCGACGGGGTTCGCATTCCCGGCCCTGGAGAGGTGGTTCTGATGGTCTCCTTGATTTTATAGGGCTGATTGCTGCCCACGTTGGGGATATCGGCGCCCTCGATGAACATGAACTGGAAAACATCGGGTTGGACCCTCAAATTCACTTGCAAGGACGCAAACTCACCTCAACTGTGAGGGTCCCGGTTACAGTGTCGCTCTCATAGGGTCGACTTTGCAGGGTAATAATCTGCCTTTGGGACGGGTTGATCAGCAGCTCTTCCACTCCAACTATCCCCAACCCCAAGAACTTGTGGGGCTTGGCAGCGCAGTCGTAAATTTCAAATAGAAGCTCCGCCGTGTGAGGCGACAGATCGCTAAGAAAACCAGTTAACTGAGTGATTCTGAGCCCGTTTCCTGCCAGTATCCTTACAATAAGAAGTGTTCGTCCCAAAAGGGCGAATCGGTGTTTTTCTTCACAGAAGTCTGGTTCTTCTGCGGGGGTTCGTCCATTTCGACGACGCAAAACGGATCGGCACAGCCATGGTGGCCGCCCAATTGGGCGGCTCGTATCACTTTCACTAGAAGTCGCTTCTCTCCTTGCAGTTGCAGATCGCCTGGCGTCATGTGGTTTGGAGTGGATGAATAGGCATTTGCCTGCTAAATATTCCATCCATTAACTGTGGGTTGTCCATATATGTATCCACCGCTTACCATGCTGTCGTAATGGAGAGGCAGCATCCGCCCAGGCGTTTCCACATGTCGGATCAATCGGGGGCATGTGGGGTAAGCAGAGAGATTGAGATGAACTTCTGTGCTTCGCAAGGCGTTCGTCACAATTTCGCTAAGGCGCACAATGGGAAGTTTTTGACTAATTTTCAGTTTTCGGGGGTGATGTTTAACTCACGTGATTACTTCTTGCAGTTGCGTTTCGTCCAAGTTATTCTTGATGTTCCCGACGGGGGCTAGGGCTACCTTGACCTCTGGCCATCCGTCGCATTTCACATCGGCCTGCAATTTTTCTGAGACGCAAAATATATGCAGACGCGCTCGGAATCGGTTCACATTGACTCGGTAGTGGGACGTATCCACTTTTTCCCCCTTCTGTCGGAATGATTTCAATTGGAAGGCTGGGGTCACTTCCAAATCACAGGTTATTGTCTGGGGAAATACGGAATTACTGGACAAATTCATCGGGGTATAGAATATCATTTTTGTTTTGCGGTGGCGGGCTTTGAGGAGCTTTGGTCGCGCAAATTTCGTTTAAAAATCTCCGACTAGCAGGCATTTTCAATGGAAAATATCGTTTGAATTCAAATTTCCAACACCCAAAAAGTAACGAAAATTTCCAGAAGTATGTTTTTCTCTTATAGAGTTCTAAAGGTCTAAAAACGTAAACATTCTACATTGATATCAGTCCCGAGCAATTAAGCGGCCGTGATAAATGAAATCACTTCGATGCTAAATTGCAGGTCACAAAGTCAATTAAATGGCCATCATACTTATTTTTATTCGAGCTATAAAGTTCCATCCAGTCCATTTAAAGTTACGGAATACGTTTATTATTAACGTTCAATTAAGAAAGAGATCGTTTATTGGACCTTCACAGTTCGTTATTTTCGCGAAAGGCAAAGCTGCGGTTTGATATTAAACATGCTGTGCCCATTTATTACATCACCGGATAATATGGAATATTGACAATGCGGCTGCGATAAGATAAAAAAAAAACTAGGAAAACTCGAGCATTTTGGGAGTAATTCATAACTTTTCAATCGATACTTTTTCGCAAGCGCACATACACTCCGGAGTTGTTCCTGCTTCCGTTTCTTCCGGACGTTTCGCCAGCAAGAGCACTGAACAAACCACCCCTGAAGACGCCAGACACTCGGGCTTGCAAAACGTCAGGAAGAAATTATTTTCCACCGCAGCATAAAAGGCCGAAAACTGTACCAGTTTCACCTTCACAACTTTTTCCATTTTGAACCGTTATGAAGATTATCGAGTCAATAGAACAAGTTTCTCTTTAAATGTCCCGAAAGTTTATTTTTTGGGAAAATTGAGAAATATTGGCAGGCTTTTGAAGCAAAATTTGCCATGAGCTTCACCACTTTCTTTAGTTGTGGTTTCCCTTCAAAAATTTATTTTTGAAGGGAAACGTTTTCTGTTACTTTATTCAATAGAACCGACTTCACTTGAAATGGCCTGAAAGTTTAATTTTTCGCAAAAAATCTGAGAATTATTGGCAGGCTGTTAAAGCAAAATTTGAGATGAACTTCAACGCTTTCCTTAATGATGTAGCTTCCTATACAAAAATTAATTTTGCCAAAACAGGACCAGATAGAATATTGCTTGACACTTCATTCAACAGACCCAACTTCGCTTTAAATGTTCTGAAAGTTTCATTCTTCGCAAAAAATCTCAGAATTATATGCAGGCTTTTAAAGCAAAATTTGGCAGCTTCTACGCCTTCCTTAATTGTGTAACTGTTTTTCCAAAAATTATTCTGCAAAAACTGGGAAAGATGGAAAGTTGCTTGGTACTTGATTCAATAGACCAAACATCGTTTTAAATGCTCTGCATTTTTTGTCAAAAAATCTGGGATTTAATTATCAGCTTTTAAATCAACTGGACGTGCGGGTCAAGCCGTTTCTCGTTGAGTAGCTGATTTAAAAAAAATTAATTTTGCCGAAACTGGATCAGATCGAACGTTGCTTGTCACTTGACTCAATAGGCCAATTTTCCTGAAAGTTTGATATTTGGCAAAAAATCAGAGGATTACTGGCAGGCTTTTGAAACATCAAGTGGTTTCTTGTTGTATAAAAGGTTATTTTGCCAAAACTCGATCAGATGGAAAGTGGCTTGTCAGTTGATTTAATGGAACAAACGTCGCTTAAAATGGCCAGAAAGTTTAAATTTTTCGCAAAAAATCCGAGAAATTGTGCAGCCGTTTCTTCAAAAATAAATTTTGCAAAAACTAGACCACGTGCAAAAATGCTTGTTACTTCATTCAACAGACTCAACTTCGCTTTAAATGTCCTGAAAGTTTAATTTTTCACAAAATATCTGGGARATAATGGCAGGCTTTTGAAGCAACCCCTGACCAGCGTCCCAACGGATTTAATGTTGTGCAGCCGTTTCTTCAAAAACAAATTTTGCAAAAACTAGACCAGGTGCAAAAGTGCTTGTCAGTTCATTCAACAGACTCAACTTCGCTTTAAATGTCTTGAAAGTTTAATTTTTCACAAAATATCTGGGAAATAATGGCAGGCTTTTGAAGCAACCCCTGACCAGCGTCCCAACGGCTTTAATGTTGTGCAGCCGTTTCTTCAAAAATTAATTTTGCAAAAACTAGACCAGGTGCAAAAGTGCTTGTTACTTCATTCAACAGACTCGATTTCGCTTTAAATGTCCTGCAAGTTTTACTTTTCACAAAAAAATCTGAGAAATAATGGCAGGCTTTTGAAGCAACCCCTGATCAGCGCCCCAACGCTTTTAATGTTATGGAGCCGTTTCTTCAAAAACTAATTTTGCAAAAACTAGACCAGGTGCAGAAGTGTTTCTTACTTCATTCAACAGACTCAACTTCGCTTTAAATGCCCTGAAAGTTTTACTTTTCACAAAAAATCTGAGAAATAATGGCAGGCTTTTGAAGCAACCCCTGACCAGCGCCCCAACGCCTTGGATGACGTGCAGCCGTTTCTTCAAAAATAAATTTTGCAAAAACTAGACCAAGTGCAAACGTGCTTGTCACTTCATTCAACAGATTCAACTTCGCTTTAAAAGTCCTGAAAGTTTTAATTTTCAGAAAAAATCTGAGAAATAATGGCAGGCTTTTGAAGCAACCAATGACCAGTGCTCCAACGCCTTTAATGTTGTGCAGCCGTTTCTCAGGAAATCAATATTGCAAAAACTAGACCAGGTGGAAAGTTGCTTGCCACTTCATTCAATAGAACGAACTTCGCTTTAAATGTCCTGAAAGTTTAGTTTTTGGCAAAAAATCTGAGGAATTCGGGCAGACGTTTAAAGTTTGAAGCAACACTTGACATGCACCCTAACGCAATATTATTGTGTTTCTTCAAAAATTAATTTTGGGAAAACTGCAACAGGTGGAAAATCAGGGGTCACTTCATTGGCACGCCTAAGCTTTCCTTTAATTGTTCTGGCAGTTTGATTTTGTTCAAAAAATCGGGCGGTTATTGGCAGGCCTGTGAAGCAACGGTCGACATGCTCCCTCAGGCCGTTACTTATTGGGTAGATGTTTTTTCAAAAATTTATTTTGCCTCAACTAAACCAGAGAGAGAATTCGGTGTCACGTTATTGAAATGACCAAAGCACACTTTAAATGTCTCGAAAGTTTAATTTTTGGGAAAAAATTTGTTAATTTTTAACAGTTAATACAATATTTAAAAAACGCAAATGCAAGTGTCTATAAATCTCTCTCTTAAGTGTAGTTTTACATTTTTTTGCGGTGTTTTTGGTAGTTTCCACACAGAAAAACGCATGTAAATAACCATACGCTCAACTTGCAGAAGGATTAAATATAGACCAGCAGGCTCGGATGACATAATCAAAGATGACGCGCTAGTTATATTTAAATCAATCAGGTAATCCATGACGACTTTCCTCAAAATAACAGCTTTCATTGCGATTCCGTCATTCCGAGCTACATTTAAATTGCAAATAAGACAACCTTTATGTATGTGTTGCTAATAGTTATTCGTAGCGCGATGGAACAGGTTGGTGAGGTCATAACTAAAGAGCAAAACGGTACAATGTTCAGACCGAGTGGAAACTTTAATGTTATTTGCATAAGTTAACTTTGGCTATTTTAAGCGCTTTTACTTTCTACAGTCACATTAAGCAGCAGAATCGTAAAATTTTGTCTGCTTTATTACCTACCACATCGTCTTTGGAATCTGCTTCCGCGAAAATGTTGGTCACTGTTGGTGGATGAGTCTCAGGCAGGATTCTTACCAGTTCCACACCAATGCCCTGCTGGAAAAATAGAAAAATGTCACTTTCATGCAGTTTTATATGCCGCATCTATCGGATTTTTCGCCTAGGTTATTAGATGGAATTAAAAATAGCCGGAATGTTTTTATTGCATGCAACTGATGTCTTAATGTATGGGGCATAAAATTAGACACAGCTCCCAACCTGTAATAACCGGCAGTATCCGTTCTGTGTATGTTTTTCCTAGCATATTCATTATGAACTATTAACCGACTTTATAGTTTATTTTCGCTAATTAAACCCCTTTTTCTCAGCTAGTAAACCGCGTTTAAAACGACGCGTATTAATTATTAATAACCAGTCATGAAATGGTTAATCGCCACTATCACCGCTAAGATCGACTAATCAACTGGAGAAAAAGTTGTTTTTACTTTCCATCATCATCATTATCTTTTATATTATTTTGGTTCAGGCATAGAGAATTCGTTCCTTCCTTCCAAGTGGCGGCATAAAAGTGATTTATAGGTAATCAGTTTCGGATGACGCAACATCAATTTATAGCCTTGCCCTTGTTTCAATGTGGAATAGTTTAAAAACACATGTTGCCTTAAAAAGTTTACCTACTTACTGATGTGTAACGAAAAACAGTGGCTGAACGCAATAAATAACGACGTTTGTTGGATACACCCGAGGCCCAAAAATGGCGCTTGAATGAAAGCTAATTAATTGCGCAATTAATTGGCGTAATTATTTAGTTCAACATTTCAATGTGAAACGGCCAGATAAAATCACTTTTGTGAATATTTTCTTTGTACAAGGTGATTTGCATACAATGTCCAACCTTGTTTGTATTCGTCAATGTGTTTTAGGGATTTTTTTGCATTAGAAAACTTCTTAGTTAGTTGACGTCAACGTTTTGTTTGGAAAACGGCGATTTGGAGCAAATTAGGGCGGTTTTACGTAGAAAATGTTTTAATACAGTTTATGCTGGAGCCATTTGGAAATAAATTCGGCTTCTCCAATTTTTGCTCTCCAACATTTTTCCATCATACAAAAATTAATTTTCCAAAAACTAGAGCTGGTCGAGAGTCGGTTGAAACGTCAATGAATAGAACAAACTTCGTTTTAAATGTCCTCAAAGTTTAATTTTTTGCAAAAAATCTAAGAAATATTGGCAGGCTTTTGAACAAAAATGTGCTTCAAGGCCTTCCTTAGTCGTCTAGCTGTCTCTTTAAAAATTATTTTTACGATAACTGCAATTGCTGCAACGTTGCGTATCATTTAATTCGTTAGAACAGACTTCGCTTTAAAAGTCCCCAAACTTTCATTTTTTGCAAAAAATCTGCTAAATTTTGGCAGCCTTTGAACCAAAAATTTGACATGTGCTTCAACGCCTTTCTTACTTGTGTAGCTATCTTCAAAAATTAATTTTGCCAAAACTAGACCAAGTGGAAAGTTACTTATAACTTCATTCGATAGAACAAACGTCGCTTCAAATGTGTTCGAAGTTTAATTTTTCGCAAAAAATCTCAGAAATATTGGCAGACTTTTGAGGAAAAATTTCACATGTGCTTCAACGCCTTCCATAGTCGTCTAGCTGTCCCTTCAAAAATTATTTTTACGATAACTGCAGTTGCTGCAACGTTGCGTATCATTTCATTCAATAGAACAGACTTCGCTTTAAAAGTCCCCAAAGTTTAATTTTTCGCAAAAAATCTGACAAATTTTGGCAGGCTTTGAACCAAAATTTGACATGTGCTTCAACGCCTTTCTTACTTGTGTAGCTGTCTCTTCAAAAATTCATTTTGCCAAAACTAGACCAAGTGGAAAGTTACTTATAACTTTATTCGATAGAACAAACGTCGCTTTAAATGTGTTCGAAGTTTCATTTTTTGCAAAAAATCTCGGAAATATTGGCAGACTTTTGAAGAAAACTCTGACATGTGCTTCAACGCCTTCCTTAGTCGTCTAGCTGCCTCTTCAAAAGTTAATTTTGCAAAAACTGCATCAGTTGCTTATCACTTCCTTCGATAGAACAGACTTCGCTTTAAATGCGTTCGAAATTTCAGTTTTCGCAAAAAATCTCAGAAATATTGGCATTCTTTTGAAGAAAACTTTGACATGTGCTTTAACGCCTTCATTAGTCGTCTCTAGCTGCCTCTTCAAAAATTAATTTGGCGAAAACTGGAGCAGGTGGAAAGTTGCTTATCACTTCATTCGATGGAACAAACTTCGCTTTAAATGCTTTTGAAGTTTCATTTTTCGCAAAAAATCTCAGAAATATTGGCAGACTTTTGAGGAAAATTTTGACATGTGCTTCAACGCCTTGTGTTGTGTAGATGTCTCTTCAAAAATTGATTTTGTCGAAACTGGATCAGATGGAAAGTTGCTTGCCACTTCACGCAATAGACCAAATTTTACATTAAATAACCTCAAAGTTTAATTTTTCGCAACGAATCTACGGAATTTTGGCAGGCTTTTAAAGTTTGAAGTAACACTCGACATGCTCCCAACGCCTTTCTCAGTTGTGTAAACGTCGCTTCAAAAATGAATTCTACAAAAACTGGACCAGATCAAAAAGTGCTTGCCACTCCATTGAAAAGCCATAGATTCACTTTAAAATGCTTGAAAATTTGATTTTTCTCAAAAAATCTGGAGAATTTTGGCAAAGTTTTTAAGTTTGTTGTACACTTGACATGCTCCCAACGCCTCAGTGGTGTAGACGTTGTTTCAAAAATTAATTTTACAAAAACTGAACCAGACGGAAAATTGCTTGCCACTCCATTGAAAAGCCACAGAATCGCTTTAAAAATATTTTTTTGCATAAAATTTGAGCAATATTGACAAGCTTTTGAAGCCATATTTTTTTAATGCAACCAAAAACTTTCGTTCATCTTTAACAAGACCCTTATAAATAAAAATGTCCAAAACCGCTTAAATCGACTGGATTTACACAATTATTCCGAATTTTGCCATCTCCATGCTTTATACTTTCATAAAAGCAGACTCGGACAATAATAGTTCCATCAGACTACTGTTGAACGTAAAAAATAATTTCAAGGACTGAAATAATGTCTTTCGCAGTTGAAGCGACCCAGATGTAAGGCAGAAAGCAAAAAACAACATTCTCCCAAAACCGAGTTTAATTTTAGATTTCTGTGATTCACTTATATGTGGGATGTCAATGAGAATAAACAGCAAAACTCACAGCCTTGATGATAAGACAACAGGGGGGCTGGATATTTTGTTTTTTTATGTTTTTGCCTCAAAGCTAGACGAAAGAGTGAAATCATCGATTATGTGGGTGAAACCAATACATATACGTTTGCCAACAAAAATTGTTCGTACAAATTAAAACCCCATTTCTATCTAGGCCTAGAAGTTAAGACCATTAATCATTTGCGTTTGATGTAAGTGGGTTTCCGAAATTTCTTCCCGGGTTATACACCTTAGAAGTGCCGTTATAATGATCATCATCAGCCAGTTTTTAACAATTCTGACATCATCTTGGTATGGAATGGAATGCTACAATCTATAATAAATGTTATTTTCATATCCACGAAGACGTGAAGATAACATGTGTTTTTTAGCTTCTTTCAATTGCATCGACTCATCGCTAATTTTAGTCTTGTGTGTGTACGCTGATAATATCGGAATGGTTTGGAAATGAAGTTGCACTGCTTAAGCAAAACCGTGCTATTTTGTTTTACCTTGATAATTGCAGCTAGTTTAGCAGCTAAATAGATTACAGATATATTGATAAGGCATACAACGGGTTATTTTTTTTATTCCCTAATTGCAACAGTTAATTTTCATTGTTTTTGCCATTTTATGGTTGATTTCAATTTTGTCTTCCTAACTCGAAAGCAATGGTTGGTAGAAGCCATTAAACTGAGTTGTATGAATGTCATTTGGAACAGTTGTATAACGACTGATTTTAATGTAAGTTCAATAGTTTTTTTTTCAAATTGGGTTCTCTTGTTTTCCTCCAATTTAAATTTGATTTTTCTTTGATAAGCTGAGTCGCTCGAAGCACATTTTGATACGCGGCATTTTATTTCATATTGTTCTTGTCCGAAGCTGGACATTGTGGATATTTCCATTAATTTTATGGAATAAACTTATCTCGAATTGAACTATAATGGTCTTATCTAAAACACGCAATTTTGTTCAAATTGCGTGTACAAAATGAGAACCTTTTTATTTTAACTCTACTGACTGGAACATGAAGACAACTCTTTATTGAGTGCAATAAAATAAAAGATTCTTTGTGGAAGAATAAAAAGAAAAACTTTCCACACAAGTACCAATCCAAAAACAAACTTTGCAACATTTTGGAAAATCTACCGCGAATTCGGTGTCAAATTGAGCAGTTCTGAATGAAGAGATGTGTGATCGAAGTTTAGGACATTTCCTCACCGCTTTATTCTTGTGTTGATGTTTCTTCAAAAATTAATTTTGCAAAAACCAGACCAGATAGAAAGTTGCTTATCATTTTATTCAATAGGACAAACTTCGCTTTAAATTTTCTGAAGGTTTTATTTTTCACAAAAAATTCGAGAAATAATGGCATGCTTTTGAAGCAACCCCTGACCAGCGCCCCAATGCCTTTAATGTTGTGCAGCCGTTTCTTCAAAAATTAATTTTTCAAAAACTAGGCCAGGTGCAAAAGTGCTTGTTACTTCATTCAACAGACTCAACTTCACTTTAAATGTCCTGAAAGTTTCACTTTTCACAAAAAATCCGAAAATAATGGCAGGCTTTTGAAGCAACCCCTGACCAGCGCCCCAGCGCCTTTAATGTTATGGAGCCGTTTCTTCAAAAACTAATTTTGCAAAAACTAGACCAGGTGCAAAAGTGTTTGTTACTGCATTCAACAGACTCAACTTCACTTTAAATGTCCTGAAAGTTTAATTTTTCCCAAAAAATCCGAGAAATAATGGCATGCTTTTGAAGCAACCCCTGACCAG